CAGCAGCAGCAGCAGCAGCAGCAGCCATCCCGTCAGTCCTGCATGCGCAGAGGCCTATCGGATTCGATCGACCGGCGTCGACGGCTGGACCTTCCCGCCAGACCCTCTGACACACCCTCTTCTTCTTGCCAGTCACCCACTGTCGGCACATCTATCATCCCTTACATCCCGTCCCATCCAATCCTATCCTGTGTACAAGATGACTTCAAACCACCTCGCCACTGAGCTGCCAAGCTGGTCGAAGCTGCAGCAGCTGCACGACGCCAAAGGGGCCAAGTACGATCTGCGTCAAGCGTTCAAAGCTGATCCCAAGCGGTTTGAGAAGTATTCTGAGCAGTTCAAGGGAACAAAGACTGATGCATCTCTGCTTGTCGACTACTCCAAGAACCTCATCGATGATGAAGTGTTGAAGACCTTGCTCGACTTGGCCCGCGAGGCCAAGGTGGAGGAGCAGAGGGATGCCATGTATGCCGGAGAGAAGGTCAACTCTTCTGAAGGTCGCTCTGTTCTTCACATTGCTCTGCGAGACCTGCCCGAGAAGTTCAAGCCCAAGGCAGAAGGTGTGGACGAGGTCAAGCCCGAATTGGAGCACATCAAGGCCTTCTCTGATGCAGTGCGCTCCGGCTCGCACAAGGGCTACAGCGGCAAGCAGATCAAGTCCATCGTCAACATCGGTATCGGAGGATCTAACCTAGGCCCTCTGATGGTGACTCAAGCACTCAAGCCCTATGCCAAAAAGGATCTCGACGCTCATTACGTCTCCAACATTGATGGTACTCACTTGGCCGAGGCTCTGCGCGCTTGCGACCCAGAGACAACAGTCTTTATCATTGCGTCCAAGACCTTCACTACTCAAGAGACCATCACCAACGCAAATTCTGCACGTGACTGGTTCTTGAAAACTGCCAAGGATGAGAGCCACATCTCAAAGCACTTCGTTGCGCTTTCAACCAACGTGAAGGAAGCGACTGCCTTTGGGATCGACAAGGCCAACATGTTCAAGTTCTGGGACTGGGTCGGTGGACGATACTCCTTGTGGTCTGCCATCGGTCTCAGCATTGCCATCGTGATTGGCTACGAGAACTTTGAGCAGCTCTTGCTTGGCGCGCATGAGCTCGATGTGCACTTCAAAGAGGCGCCTTTGGAGAAGAACATTCCAGTCCTCCTCGCTACCATTGGCATCTGGTAGGTTGCACACTTTTCACGCTCTGCTGTGCTGAGATCTCACCTCACATCAATTGGCCTTTTTGACAGGTACAACAATTTCTTTGATGCTCAATCCTACGCTCAGCTGCCTTATGACCAGTACATGCACAGGTTCGCTGCCTACTTTCAGCAGGTGAGATCCAACGGGTTGCGGGAGCCTGCGGTATTCTCAGACTGACTCCAGACATCGCCATCGCTTTCAGGCAAGCATGGAGTCTCTTGGCAAAGGCGTCGCAAAGAATGGCAAGCGAGTCGACTACCAGACTGGTGAAGTGCTTTGGGGCGAGCCCGGCACTGATGGTCAAGTGAGTGCAGAACTTTTTGCTCGCGCCGAATTTGAAGAGCTGACGCAAGTCCTTCACCTTCTCGTCACCCTAGCACGCATTCTACCAGCTCATTCACCAAGGCACTAAGCTGATTCCTTGCGACTTCATTGCTCCTATTGAGACTCAGAATCCCCTCGGCAAACACCACGACATTCTCTTGTCCAACTTCTTCGCTCAGCCCGAGGCTCTTGCATTTGGCAAGACGGCCGAAGAGGCCAAGGGCGAGTTGAGCGCCCAAGATCAATCCAACGATTTCTTGATTCAGAGCAAGATTTTTACGGGTAACAGACCAACGAACAGCATCTTGGCTCAAAAGATCACTCCTGCCACTCTGGGTGCTCTGATCGCTTTGTACGAGCACAAGATTGCTGTGCAAGGTTTCATCTGGAACGTCAATGCCTACGATCAATTCGGCGTCGAGCTGGGCAAGGTGCTCGCGAAGAAAATTTTGCCTGCTTTGGAAGCTGGAGACCCCAACAAGCCTGGTGACCACGACTCTAGCACCTCTGGCCTCATCTCTTACTACCTAAAGAACAGAAAAGGTCACTGACTAGCTGCGTCTTTGGACGAACCGCGAGTAACCTCTAAAGGCAAAATGTGATTTTGCCTCCTTTCCACACTCTGGCCACGATCGCAACTGCAACATTGAAATCAGATTACAGCCCATCGAAGAATCATGCTTGATGTGTACCTGTTTGACGAGAACCGTGAGGCATTACACGTACTTCACTGAGCTTTGCGTCTACACGACTTGTTTGACTCGGGGTAGCATTTAACAGTGGTTCAGAGTACAACGTCAAAATACGACAAGGTCCTCTCGGTTAACAGATGTCCGCGCCTCGCCGCCGCCGTCGACAATTGGTCGAGGCGTACGCGCGTCCTTTCGCGTTCTTCCAGTAGCCCTTTGAGACTCTGTCAGAAGCTTGGCCGATCAGATCAAGTTCTGATGTCTCCACGCCGCAAGAAAGGTATACCGAGTCCGCTGAGTAGGAGACGGGCCTTCTCGGTGGCGTGCGGGCCTCTCAGATTGGTGACAATGTCGATCTGCAAGTGTGGAGGGAGCAAGACGGCAAGCAGCCATAACCGAACAGTGCAGATCGAGGACGGGTCAGGACTGTGTGGGAAAGTGCGCAATGAAGAACAAGACTCACCTGAGCACCGAGACCTTTGCCAGAGTAAGCGTCCCAGTTGACCTCTGTGCCTGGCCAGAGTCGCATTGCTTCGGGCGTCAAGCCCAACGAGACGACGCCGGATTGAGCGGCCGGAGAACGCGCAGGAGCCGAAGCGGGTGGTAGAGCGTATCCAGAAAACGTCCGCACTCGAGGTAGGACGAAGGTGGACAGCTGAGCATAGGGGCAGCCGAGACCGGGTCAGTCGGACGATGGATAGCATGAGACGTGCGGAAAGCGGACGTGAACTAACTTGATCAATGACTTCGAGAGCTACGGGAGCGGGCAAGACCGCAGTGACGCCTACCGGCATGCCTGGTCTGACCCTGAAACTAGCAGCCCTGCTCGAGCTCTTGACGACCCTGATGTAGCCTTTGCCGCCTGAATGCTCTAAATTGATGCCCTTGTCGGCCAAGCTTCCCAGTACCCTTGCTCCCGTAATAGCTCTAAGCTGAGCAATGACTGGTACCAAAAGTTGTTTGTTGCTCACCGAGTCTTTGACGAAGACGGAGAAATGTAACCTCTCGATGCGAGGAAGGTCTTGGGATGCGTCGTATGCTGATGGAGGTTTTTGAGCGGGTGCCAGTCTTCGATTACCTCTGGGAGATCTTTGCGGCCTGTGTAGCGTGTAAGGTGAAGCGGGATCCCAGCCTCTCGATGCTGTGGATGTCACCCCGCCATGCTCCAGATCTTTTGCTCGAAGAGCTTCGTCACTCGAAGGATTCAGATTTTGAGGGTCGTAGGTCATGTAGAGAAGCAGCGGAGAAAGCGTACGGTTGTAGTGCTCGCTCAGACGATTGAGCTGAGTCGGGCCTATCTCGACGGGCGTGTGAGCTAGACGTGTAGTGCTAGATGACGAAGAAGGTGCTGCAGATGGTGCTGTAGCAGAAGCTGACGGAAGAGCTGCCCGTAGAGATGACTCAGAAGAGGTACTCTTTGTTGCTGAAGCAGCACCTGAGACACCAGAAGTGGCGACTGCCTCCGTGGCAGGGGCCGAAGCAAGCCACCTCTTGCTGCTGGAGCCAAAGGCTTGACGGGCGCTTCGCGCAAAGCCGTGTGTAAGGCTGGATCTTGTGACGGACGCCATGACAGTGGAGTTGGTGGGAAAATGGCGTATTGCAATGACGTGTAGTGATGTCTCAGCGATGCGAAAGCTGGTGGTTCCGACGCAATTTGGAGCCTGAGCGGTGAAGCTTGGAGGAATCCTCTGGTCGTGAGTCACAGTGGTGGTGGAATTTGGTTTTCGTCTGCCAAGCTTGCATGCGCGAAGGCTCTGGTCGCGCGGCACAGCTTTATCGCACGAGAAAGCGATGTCAGCTCTGGGCGACGCGACGCTCGGACCTTGCCGCGTCAGCTTCAACGACTCGATTTCATTGATTGTATGCACTCACATCAGGGCTCCACCAGCGTTTCTGATGGGAGGCTTTCGCTACTCATCCTCATCTGTACACCTTTGGCCTGCCTATCCTACTCGGGATTGCCGCTCGATCTCTGACATTGCATACAGGAGATTTGACGGTCAACCCAACGACTCTCTGCGCCTGGTCTCACAGTACACTCGTCGACTCAGTCACATCAAGGTTCGCCCATCATGTCGATTATGGAGTACAACGGAGGTTCGGTGGTGGCCATGAGGGGAAAGAATTGCGTGGCCATCGCTTCTGATCTGCGCATCGGACAACAGGCTCTCACCCTGGCTTGCAACCATGACAAGGTATTTCCGATTACTCAGAGGTGTTACATTGGCATGCCAGGATTGGCTAGCGATACCGAGACGCTCAGGCAGAGATTCAGGCGAGTGCGCTCATTTCTCCGAGGAAACCTCTGGCAAAGACTGGGCTAATGGCTTCTGTGCCCAACCCCTTGACAGATACCGCACTAGCATGTACCAGCTGAAGGAAGAGAGGGAGATCGAGCCAGAGACATTTGCCCATCTGGTCAGCTCAACTCTGTACGAGAAGCGGTGAGTGTCCGCTCTCGAATGACCATACCTATTGCACGCCTCAGCAGCTCATATGTCGTGCCTTCCTGCTCCTAGGTTCGGACCTTACTTCATCGAGCCCGTGATTGCAGGTCTCTCAGGCCCAGACTCCAAGACACCCAATGAGCCTTTCATCGCAGCTGCGGATCTCATTGGATGCTTGAACTTCGCAAAGGATTTTGTAGTTGCCGGTACTGCTTCGGACAAGCTTTTTGGTATGGCCGAAGGTCTTTGGGAGGAGGACTTGGTGAGTGTTTTGGATTGTGCAGCTGTACGAAGCGAGGCATCCCCCACCAATTGGGCGAGGTGGGCCTCTTGACGCGTACTCTCGGCTTACTTCTGAGCTCTTTCACCCGCACTTCTCGACAGGAACCTGATGAGCTGTTCGAGACTATCTCGCAAACATTGCTGGGCGCGCTAGAGAGGGACGCTCTGTCAGGCTGGGGAGCCATCGTAAGAGTGATGTGAGTTCCGGTTGT